TGATGATCGTGATGATCGTGATGATCATGATGATCATGATGATCATGATGATCATGAATATGATGATTATGATCATGTTCATTACTAATTTCTTCAATAATCCTTAAAGTTTTAACTTCACCATGTGAAGATTGAACCGGTGGAATATAGTCTTGTTGTGGAACATCATAAGCTGATGGATCAATAGAATTTTCTTCAACAATTCGAATTGTTTTAACTTCTTCGTGTGCTTCTGGTGGAGAATATTCTGGATTTACAGCTGGTACATTATAATCTAATCCATTCGATTCTTCTTGTATCACACGAATAGTTTGTACATCATTCCCGCCACCACCACCATGAGATGCAGCATGAGAATGTCCATGTAATAGGCCAGCATTTGAAATAGCTATTAGGCCTAACAGACAAAATAGTACCTATATAATTAATTATATATCCAAATTAAGAAAGTAAAATAATCCATTAAGTATGTGATAGCATATTTTATTACGCAATAGTTTTCGTTGCATTCTCACCTTCATGATTTATTCCGTTAAAATTTTTAATGAAGTTTAATTTGTTTTTTCTTTTTTTTTAAATTTTAAACTTCGCCAAATTAATTTGGACGACAACTAAATACAAACTGAATTGAGTGCCCAATTTTGTAGATCTTTTATATTAGTAAGTGAAAAAAAAAATTTTTGTTTTATGTTTTAGTTTTTTTTTTCTTTTATTTTGATTAGCAAAAAAAAATCTACACATAATTTTAAAAATGAATGATATAATTTTCATCTTAAATCAGTTTAGAAAAAAAACAGCATAATCAAGCCCACTTTACATACAATATAACTTCAAACTATTAGGATGGTCTGAAATTTCAGCGTTTTACAAAGAAGAAAAAAATTAAAAATTAGTAACATACATTTTTACAAGTCTATAATTTCTATTCAATCATCAGCACAATAAATGGGGTTTGGGTTAAATGATGATCAAAATAAAATCACCAAAAAGTGTAACAACATTTACGCAAAAAACAAAAAAACAAAGAAACTAGAAAATAAGTAGGGCTTGAGATTTTTTTTTAATACTCGTATGTATTGGATTTTATGCGCCGTATGCATTTGATTAATAGAGCCAATCTATTTACTAAAGATAAAAATAATCATGATAACAGAAACTAAAGAAAGAAACATCATAAAATTTCGGCTATCACACAAAAAAATTCATCTTGAAAATGATTTTTTTGTATTAATCGTTTTTTTATGCTTATGTAAAAAAAATTTTGAAAGTATATTACGAGTTCATGCAATGGTTTATAATTCTTATCAAGTGACTGCTCTAATATCTGCAAAATTTTCCGAAATTTTTCGGTATTTTATTTCAAAAACAAAATAATTAATTTCAAAACCGTTAACGTTAAACGCTTTTTTAAAAGTCAAATGAAATCAAGAAATGAGAAACTGACATATCTAATGTTCATATTTTATTACTTGAAAACGGCAAGTCTGACATAAATCATTGATATTACCGTTGCATAAGTACATTAATTCAGAAAAATAGTTGTGAACAACAACATATTGCTCTAGCTTTAAGTTCGAAGCCATTATAGTATTGTTCTTAACTCGTTCTCCCTTCACCACGAAAAGTCACAATTGGTTTCATGTCACAATTGGTAATATGCCAAAATACGTTGTCTGACATATACACCTATATTCTATATTTTTTCCCCTTACCTCACTCGGGAGCGTTAGGACTTTCCACTTGACTTTATAGTCAAGCCTCAATTTTACAGGTCATTAAATTATCTTGACAATAATTAGCCTGCCATAGTTTTTTCTTACATATTAAATATTGAAAGTTATATTTTTGTTGGCATGAAATCAAATATTATGGATATATGGGTAACTATTTTCAATTATGATTATTTATTATAGTTACCTGACCAGGGTTTGAATCCGAGGCCGATGCCATAACCACTGCTGCATTGGTTATATTCTATGTACCCAATAATAACACTTTAAAACAATTCTGTTACATCACTTACAATCTACAATTTCTTGGTATATGTAGGTACTTAATTTACACAAAATTTTCTGTAATTTATATTCTATGATAAGCTGTTTCAACGATAATATTATTAATGGTAAGTTTTTAAAGAAGAAAAATATCTAATAACTGAAGTTCATTTTCTTATTTTGCTATTTTGGTGGTATTTTTTTCAGGTTATTCACAAAAAAGTAACAAAAAAAACAAAATTAATGTTATTTTTGATTGAATATTAATTTTTTTAAAAAATTTTGTAAATCAGTGCAATCTTAGCGGTGCTAGCGAAAATTTTGATACAATTTTGTATTTTTGCCGTGTTATAGTTATGTGTAATAGTTAAAAGCTGCTCGTTATAAACTAATTAAATTATTTCAATTAAACATTATTGTAAAATGTGAAGATTTACTTTTTATTATAATATATACGAGTTGGAAAGCAATTGGAATTCAATACGTAATCGGCAGGATAGTGTTTAGTAATTCATTCATAATTTATTCTTAGAAATAGATCTACATTTGTGTAAAATTACGATCGCGTACATAAAAGTAAATTGTATCTAAATGTTGGAAATAAAATTAAGCTGTAAAATTCTACTAAATCATTTTTTTTATTAAAAATTCTTATTAATAATCAAAACTTAAATACAGAAAACTTAATGAGCATTTTATAAATTTTCGTCTGAATTCTCTCAATTTCAGTCTCACATTCAAACCTCTATTCAATGGGGAATCATATTTACGATTAGATTTCGTATAAGTAGTGTAATACTTTCATAGCGTTTTGCGCTTATGTTCAGATTCGAGTTAAACTAAAGGACTAAATAAGTTACATTTAATCTGAACCTCGCTAAGTGTGAAGAAGCAATTCTACAACAGGGTTGACCGAAGTTCGACTATTTGAAGAATTGTAATCCTAAGTTCCTTTTTGATTTTTGTATTTTTATATTGCAAAAGCCTCCTTATTAGTAAAATTAAATAAAAAAAAACTAAGTGCAAAATTTTAATAAATTTTTTTCCCGTCTAAATTAAAAATTATATGACTCATCGTAAACTGAGCGAATGAGGGCAAGTTTTGAGCGTATATTTCTGTAATCGAGCGACTTCAGACTGATTTTACAATGGACAGTTAATATTATGCTTTAGTGAAAAAAAATTGTATTCCTCTTTCTTCAAATTTAATTTGTAATCTGGAATTTCGAATAAGTTAACTCTTTAACACGTATTTAATTGTGACACGCGTAAATTTGCGGGTCCCGTTAATAATCCGACGCATATACAATTTATTTTTTAACATATTTATTTCGTAATAAAGTTTGCTGTTAAACTAAATTGGTGCGCAATTTTCTTTAATTACTAACATTTTCTTCAATTATCGGTAGACAGTTTATGGTCAAAACAAAAAATTATTTAAACTAATAAGAAACACGTCGCATATAATTACATGAGATCAAAGTACAATGAAATTTGATTTGGTTCAGATGTTTTCGTCCAACATTGTGTATGGGAAAGTTCGATTTTTTTATACAACTTTCGTTCTTGTTGATCGATCAAACGGGATTTACCATGACATCGAATGAGACCCGTCCAAAGGTAATTTAAATTATTCTATTAATTAATTATTGTTTGATTTAGACACAAAAGCTCCAAAAATTTAAAAAAAATTCAAAGTGAATTGTAAACAAGTAAAAATATTAATGATTTCTTACAGAGTAATATTAGAACATATTATGAAATATCAATTTAAATAATTTTTAATTAAATTAATTTAATTGCGTAAAAAATGCGTACACAATTAGGCATGATTTAAAATCATCATAAATTTTACACATACGCAAACAATTAATTCAATTTACATAACAAATTTACATTGTATACGTATGTGTGTATTGAATATTAAAAACAAATTGTCTGATTTCACCTGTTTTGTATATTTAATATTTAAATTATACAATCCAAATTCAAAAAAATTTTTATGATACTTAATTAACATAAATTTAATAAAATTTTGAAAGACCTTTTTGATTACGTATACAAAATACCTGATTACAAGCAATCTGTAGCCCATCATTAATTGTAATTTTTTATTTTATAATTTTGTAAAGATTTTTAATTTAAATATGAAACAAAAAATTTTTATAAATATTTATTTAAAAAAAGAATACTTTCGATTTTCATAGACTATAAAATTAAATTTCGTACTACTAATCAGCATCATACACAAAGCCATTCTGATATTTGGATATATTCATTGTTAATTCAATTACGACTTGAATTACGACTTGAATTTATAAGAATTGTTTGAATTACACTTAGAGCTGGTTGATTCTGAACATGTGGGATTATTCCTATCCTTGAAAAATTGCATTGTTTTAAACAATTGTAGTTTCTAAAGAGCAAATTCTCACCAAAATTTAAGCGTAAATTTTCTTCTATCATACAAAATAATTCAAAGACGTATATTCTGTCGTAAATCAAACCTATATTGCGATATACGAAAGAAATCTGACAATATTTTTGTTCAATCAGAAATTTGCATCAGTGATTGTGGGAAAGAATTTAATTAATTACGAGATTTATTAAATTCGATCAAGTTTTTTTGTATTTTTTTCACAATTATTTTAGTATTTTATGGTGTTTTGGATGATTTGCTTACTTCAAACTCAAATTGACAATGCTTATAAATACTTTTAAGTTGAAATAAGTGCCATGTTCATACAAAAATTTTCAAAAATATAATTTAGGCAATTTTTTATTACAAAAAATATGCAATACAATTTTTCAATAATATTGAAATATAAATTAAATAACAATCTAAAAATTTTCATACTAATTCTAATCCTATAAATTAAAATTAAATGTGTTTTATTTTATTTTTTTTTCTGTGTTTTTGGACTAAAGGAATTCAACATCTTATTTTGTGTTTGTCTTCCCAAACATATATATCTATATATATATTTCTATGATTAATAAATTACCCTAAAAATGATCATGATGATGATTATGATGTGGTGGCAAATATGAATGATGTGGAGTCACTGCTGGTGGCAGAGGTGGTAATAATTCAGAAGTAGATGATATATGTGATGATACTGGATGTGATGCTGAATGTACTGGTACTTCATGCTCTTCTTCGTGTATAACTCTAACAACTTGTTCATGTCCATGACTAGTATGATGAGCTGGTAAGGATGATGATGTTTCTGATGATGTATGTTGATGAATAATTCTTATAACACGTTCTTCTGGTTGACCATCAACACCATGATGTGAAACTAAACCATGTCCTGATGAATCAATAGTAGGTGCTCCAGCATTTTCATGAATTATACGAACAACTTGTTGTTCTAAATTTGTTCTTCCATTAGCTATTGCTCCACCAGCAATACCAGCAATTGAATTATCAATTGGACCATGTCCGCCAGCATTTTCATGAATTAATCTAACAACAATTACTTCATTTGCATTAACACCGCCAATTAAACCGCCACGACCATGAGCTATTCCAGCACCTAATCCAGGACCGCCGGGACCACCAGGACCTATTCCACCAGCAACACCAATATTAGCACGACCAATTGCTCCTCCGTAACCACTTGAAACAGCTACACCACCGACACCACCGACACCACCGGCACCAATACCATTACCTTGGACTGGTACTACTGGAATCGGAGTTAATATTCTAACATGACGTATTTCATTGTTGCCATTGACACCAGGTCTTGGTCCACCAGGACCAACACCTGGACCAGCTACACCACCATTTAATCCCCTGTTACCGCCTCCACCAAATAAATTTAAAAATGTTGCATTTGTACCAGCAGTTAATAATACTAAACATAACAACACCTGTTTATTGATTGAATGATAAATACAATAATTGATTAAATTTTTGTTTTTTTTTTTGAATAGCTCAATTAAAATTCTTTTCAATTTCTGTTAGACTTTAAACTCACCTTCATTATTTAAAAAAAGCTTAATGTGGTAAGAAAATAAAAAATAATTTTTTTTTCTGGTTTTTGTTTTTGGAAAAAAAAAATCCAATTGAAGATGTTGACGTCCAAAAACGAATTGCGAGAAATTTTTTTTGTCTTGTCCCTTTTATACTGAAAGGGCTTTAATGCTCAACAAAATTTCTATTAATTTTTTTGAAATTTGAATACTCATCGATAATTCAATTCTTCTTACGTTATACATGTGATGCCTATTTCAAAGAGATCCATACATTATTGTACATATATCTATTATCAATTATGATGATATAACAAAATCTGAAATGAAAATGAAAATGAAAATTTTTTGACTATTTTTCTAAAAATGCAGTTTTTATTTTTCAAATCGTAAAAATGCATTTATATGGAAATTTGAGTGTTTTTTTTTCCTTTATAAAAAAGAAACCCAAAATAAAGAGAATGAAAATAAAAAAAAAAATTTGTACGCTCTTTTGTTGCTAGTTATGTGACAATGTCGTTTGATCTCAATTTTCAAAATGCATAATACACACACACATTGTTTTCTCCAGTATACAAATATGCAACATTTTTAAGTTAAAAATCTCTTCTATATCAGATTAGACGCATTGTCTTTGTCGGACACTCATAATCGTAATAAAAATTTTATATAATATAGAAAATATTTTTTTTTTATTGAAATTCGATAAAGTATTTTATTCAAAAATGTGTAAATATATGCATAATATATGTATGTATAAGGTGGAATGCGTTTACATGTGCATTTACATATATGCAATAAATTTCTATCCGAAAAGATTAATTTAAAAATCTAATAACAATTTAAATCCAATAAACGATTGCATGTATATTAGGAGATGGTGTTTCAGAGAAGGCATATTTTAACCACATAAAATTAGTTAGTTAAAATTTATGCTAGCAGTGATTGATAGCAGTATTTTTGAAAATTTATAATATCCAAGGCAGGAACGATGAAAAAAAAATTTGCTGGCATTTTTTTGCTTGCTACCACAACCAACAGTAAGGACAATAAAACTCCCATTTCGATTGAAATTCTAATAAATCGCACAATAGCTTACTACTAACATGATGACGGAATAGTACTGATTTTTCAAACACAGGTTAAAACTAGTTACTTGCTATCTAGTACTTCTAGCATGGCAAAGGTTAGAATTAGTTACTTTTCCATAAAACTGCCGATATAGTACTAAATTAAAACTATATTTGAAAAAACACTCAATTATTCCGATTTAGACATAGTTATACAATAAAGCACAATTTGTCTTAAATTTTTTTGTTCCTGCCTATATTGACACTTTAAATTAATTAATTTATTTACGTCAATTTTAGAAAAGAGCTAATATTTGAAGTAGCAACTCTATTTAAAAAATTTCATATTCAATGATAAATTTAGTTGTCAAAAATTGTTTCTTGTGTTTGATTTGACACAATATCTTTAAATTGGAAATTGCGTGTATAAATAGGAGACACCCAGTATTTGGAAAATTTCACCGAAATAATGCATTTTTTTACAAAGGCGAAATAAAAAGCCACATCTCGTTTTAGATTTTTCGTTTATAAATCATAACAGTTACACGCATATGCGATTTTGCAGCATAAAATCGAAATAATTGAATTAAATGAAAATAATATGAAAATGTGGAAAATTTTTGACAAAAAAGAAATGGTGTGTCAGACAACGCACATTTTAGCTACACTAAAAAATCTTTGATATCAATATGCTCAGAAGTTTATAAAAATTTATGCTCAGAAGTTGGATATAAAATAAAAATTTTAAACGTTGTCAAGTTCCTCAAAGAATTTGAGAAGTTGTGCGGCTATAATGAAATAAGAATCAAGTATTTATTGTCCTATTATCCTGCGGTACAAACATTATTTTTATATTAAATAATTCAAATTTTTTTTGTTTTTTAAATAAAAAAAAAAATATGTAAAACAACATTTTATGGGCAATAAAATTTGCGATGAATTATTAAAACAAATAAAAAATTATGTTTTTCATAAAACACAAAAAAAAATGTTATATAAGTGTGCAGCCCACAAAATTTTACCATGGCCCTGAATTCAAAATAATTATAATTTGACAAGGTTGATAAAATTTTTATTTCAGGAATGTTTCAGTCTTTGACATTACCGGCATCACAAAATTTTATATAAAAAATGCTGCGAAATTCCAAATGGCACAACTTTAGGTTGTTATTTGTCATAGTAAGAGTTCCTGCAATTTTTAATTAAAAAACTCAAAATATAATTTAAACTTTCGTATATGTCGTATTTCGTACTGAAAGACATAGTACAAAAAAGAAATATTTGAAACTTAATCATGAGAATCACTACAAAAGCAAAGCATTGTCAAGAATGAGAAATCATATGTTGCTACACAAGTTGTTTAGAAATACAGTAAAGTGATTAAGAATCGCCTGCAGTTTTTACTAATGGACTGAGTCAAACTCAAATTATAAATCAGAAATTAAATTCTGAGTAGCATCGAAGAAATATGATTGGAGATGGTTATAAAAACACCTAAGGTAAAAAGAAAAGGACACCCGCTGCCGTTTCTTAATTCTTTGGAAATAATACAGGAGTGCCGTGAAATGAAGAGCAAGGACCAGTTTTCAAAGCATTCCCGTCACAATATCCATGAGAAAAATGCACTCATTGATGCGATTTAGGTGATCCAAAAAGGAAGATGGTAATTTCACTGGAAAAATTTCCAAATTATTATTTTAATCTATTCCATTTTTTAATCTATTAAGCTATTTTTTTAATCTTTCGATGCTGTTTAATTTCTAGTTCTGTCCAATGTAAAAAAAACGTCCTCTAGTTTGTCGTAATTTATATTTGTGGTCTGAAACACAAAATGGTGTGGTATTTTATACATATGCATCCATACATGTATTACATGTTAATCTATAGTTGCAATTAAAATTGTCCTGTATTTTCTATAATTCGTATTTTTGGCAAAAGTCCAAATATTATGCACATTAATAATGTTAATAACCACATTAGAAAACTTCCAATTATGTATAGTGTCGTTTTATCTCCATATTATAAGTAAGGAGACATTTAGCATAATTGGCAGGCTACTGCAACTTGTTTAATAAATATCTAATATACAAACACATTTATTGCCAAAAATTTTATAACATACAGAGTTCAATTAAGTTAAGATGTAACCATTATAACATTTATTGTATAAAAATTAATTGATTATATTGGATTTCAAAAACAGCAAAAATATGAAAGTAAGAAAAAAAACAGCGGCACAGCGCGTTATAACCAAAAAAGAACCACTTAATATACAAATAAGCTGAAAAATTTATAAAAATTTTGTACTAAAAATAAAAATTAATCATTAATTGAAATTATAAAACGAGCATTTCATTATTATTTTCTATATTGTTATTTTCATTCATATTTAAAACATCAGAGGGAGAGCACGCATTGTGCGCTTTACTTCAATCACCACCTATAGTGTTTAAACAAAATCATGTTTTAGAGATTTGCTAAACGAGGTCATTATCAGTAAAAATATGAATTATTTGATTACAATGATATGCGATTATGCGGCGTACATTTATTGTAATATTACAAAATATTTTTTTTTTAGTAAACACGTGGAATCCATAATTATATTGGATGTTTTTTTTTGCTTTGCGTAGTACAATGAACTGTAACTAAAGATGCCTCAAAAAAAATTTTTATTATATTTTTCATTCATAATAAAAATTGTTTTATTGTTAATAAAATAATTTTGTAATTTCATGTACCTATACAGTAATCAAATTACTAAGGTCTTCAATAAAATTACAAATTTGAAGTTATTTAACAAAAGCGTATTGTAAAAACTAGAACTAAAAATCAATTGATTACATTACGTGAGATTTATGAATATTTGGGAAATATAAAGTGCATGAAACTTAGTGAAGTACCCAGGTTTTCATACAAATATTCAGAAACTCAATAGATTAAATATAATAAAAATATAAACATGGAACTTAGATCTCAAATAAAGGTTTCTAATTAAACGAAAACTGTTGGTACCTACTTTTGGAAAGCGCCTTGAAGAAGTGCCCCTAAGACAGTGGTATTTGCAATAGTTGTTTTACTCATACATATTTATGATATGTTCCTTTTACAGAACTAGGACACTTTAAATCACATCCTAGTAGTTGAGATTTCACTTGCTTTACTCATGTAAAATTAATGCATAAAACCTCTGCCAATTTGATGTAAGTGTGTGATATACGAGTATTGTTGTGTTAAATGGTTTCAATAAATAATCATTTAACACAACAATTATGAAAACATCTATTAATTTTAATAACCATCAGTAAGTTATCAATTTTTTTTTTTTGGATAGAATCAATAATAATCATTAACATTGTCATAAATTTACTTACTGATTTGTCATCTCTCTAACAAAATACCAAACACTCAACAGCTAATTTGTAGTCTTCTCTACATGCAAAACGTAACATCTATATTTGTGTATAATATAAGCATGACAAGTTATATACATGCTGCTTTTAATATTGTTCCAATAATTGTCATAAAAAAAATTAAATAATGTAAAGATTTAATAAAAAACAACACAAAATTTTAAAAGTATTAGGTAATAGGGAAAATGTAAATTTCGTTTATAACAACAATAGAAATAAATATCTAATGTGATCAACACATAACCAACCACAAGGTGTATTGTTTGGCTCCATTCATAAACTCCTATATTTTATGCAATGCGGTCAGTTAAAATGTTTAGAACAAGTACTTCAAGTTGTGACATTGACATTTATTTATGGTTTATGCATTCGATTTAAGAGCAAAAATAAGATGCTTCAAGCAAACAACACTATTTTTAGGTTCTCCTGTGACAGGTAACAGGTTACAGATGACAGGTGACAGATAATAGGTGGCAGATGACAGGTGACGGATGGTAGATGACAAGTGACAGAAGACAGGTGACAGGT